TGTAATGAATTCAAGCCTCAGAATTCCCTCAATTGGATTGGGTCAATCACATCTATTATTCATTTTTATAACTCAATTAGAGAATTTTCATCCCAACTCTCTAATAGGAAGATTTAACAATAAATATCAATTTAATTCACAATTTTAATCTTAGAATCTAGACTTATAACACATTCGTACATTTTTATTGGAATAAGATCAAAGATTGATCATATATATCAAGCATAAAGTAGTAATAAATTTGCCAATAAAGTTATATTAAAATTAAAATTCAACAATTATTTCAATCATTCAATAGAAAGAGCATGACTAGATCTATAAAAGATTTGATAAAAGTTAAACCAATCTTAACAATAAGTTATTGAAATTGAAATTCGACAAATAGTTTAATTTAACAATGGAAAAAGCATGGCTGAATCCATGAGAAATCTTGTAAATGTTAAACTGATTTCAATGTAAATTTATAAGAATGAAAATATAAAGACTAGAATTGTTTAATAATGACAACCAGAATACATGAAAAAATAGATGTGAAATCATCAAATCCAAAGAGTTCCTTCCTAATTTCACCTCGATTTTAGTTCTTCATAGAGTTTCTTGAGCATTAAGATGAGAGGAATGAGTATGGAGGAGTTCTTTTTTCGTTCTGGGGTGATTTAGGGCTTAAAAGTCGTGGCAGATTAAGTTACCATAAGTGGTTGGACGATATTAGAAAACCAAAAAATTCACGCTGAAATTGTACTATGCGGTCACATAGTTCACCCAAAAATGGCCGTGTGATTCTCGGAAAATAACCATGCGGTTGTATAGTTATAATGTTTTCCCGTCGGACAGCTTTCAGTATTTTGGTCATAACATTCTTTTCCAAAGTTCGATTGAGGCTATTCAAAGTGTATTGGAAAGCTAACAAAAAGAGATACAATTTCTCTAAATATTTCTTTCCCAATTCGAAAGTTTACTAGGTAAAAAATGATCACTATCTCTGATTGAAAATCAGGAACATTCTTGTTCAATTGAAAATCAATTTGTGAAAATGTTATGGTTACATTTCATTTCTTTTAACTTCTGATTGCAACCAATTGACTTTAGCATTGTCAAATCATCATTCCATCGCTCGTCTCATCTTTGGATTATTTGCAAATTGGGTCTTGAACTTTCACTTGCTTTCATTTTGATCATTTTTCGCTCTTTTTCTCCCGAATTCCACGGTATCTGATACGTTCCAAATGACGTTCCAATCAAATTTCCTTACTTAACTTAAATGTGTCGTCTTGAGTGGTAATATGGCAAGTAAAGGTCATTTCCCTCAAAGGATTGATTCAATTTCATCAATTGCACACTAAAATGTAAAATTATTATATGCCTTATGTATGTAATCTCGTGTATCACTCAATTTGGGGGACGGGGGGGGGGGGGGGGGGGGGATTTGGTTCGTTGAACTAAGGAAAGTGATAAATTTAAAATAGAAAAAACTTGAAATTTGAAATAAACAAAGTGGTTCTTGATGGAATACGAGAAAATGTGATTGAGGGGTATTTCATCACCACGAGAATGATTTTCATGTCAATTACCACAATATATTTTCGTTCTCTGAATTAACAACAATTCGAAAATAATTACAAGCTCAATTATCTCAATCTCTTCTTACATGTTAGCTCTTCACTCGGTCCTATTCATTAAATAACCTAGAACAAGCTCTCTAAATTTAATTTAACAAACTCATTACGACAAAAAAATGAATTGAATTAAGGGCAAACTCGCAAGCTCGGCTTACTAACTTAAGTGTTAATCCACTTACATTCAATTGAAAATTCTTCATAATCTATCGAAATGTAATTGCTACAATGTTTTAGAATAAATACCTAGTACGTACTATAAATCCCAAAATAGCATTAATTGAAACAACCCAATCATTTAGTTGTATACCTAAGCAATTAAGAAGGACAAAATAAACATTTAACACAATGGATTAAACACATTAATCAAGAAAACTATAAAGCACAAATTAATTGAAAATCATAACTCGGGTTTGAAATAATCCCCAATCACAAATATGTTTAGTTACCCATGAAATATTCACAAATAACCATCAAATTCTTACAAAACCTTGATGGAAAATTGGTAAAAGAAAAACTTATTAATAAAGAGAGAAATTATGAGAAATCTTCTATATCAATGGATCTTCTTCCTTAAGCTAATGCACCATCTCCATGTTCCAATCTTATCCAAAATGTCCAAGAAAATATAAGTAGAAGATGAAAGAAAAAAGATAAGCTAAAGCAAAGAAAAAGAAGGGAAGAACGGTTGTCCCCCTAGGAAGAAACGTCTTGCTTTTTAATTAAAACCTAAGGAAAAATTGCAGCTTGGTCTCTGAAATTTAAAGAAATAAAAAATATATACCCAAGTAGCACCTAGGTGCTGGCACCTAGGCGCCACAATTTCTGCCCAAAAATGGGCAGAATCTGGGTGTTCCAATGCCCATCTTTTTGCCCAAAATTTTTTTTTTTAATATCGGTTGCGTTTTCAAGCTTCCTCTTCGTTTATCTTTATCTTTTTTGTCTTTTCTCTCATAAATTCCTTCAAATCATCACTTAACGTCGGTTGTCACCTACACAATAAAACAACTAAATTAGGTAATAAATCGCTAATGAACTCACAAATATCTATGTTTAATAGCCCGAATAAGTGCAAAAATCCGCACTTATCAGTATCCGTCCATTTGCTACCAAAATCAAAATATAAGGGTACTTAGTGTATTTAGGTTTCAATATATCATAATAATGCAAATATAAATGAATGAATTACTTAACAATTTGTGATAGTATCAAATATCCTCTAAAAATTTGCATAGCTACTTTCCATCTTCACCAATTTTGTCAAGGGCTATAAATTCAGATTTTATTGTACGCATGACTATAACTATTTGTTTAGAGAATTTCCATGATATAGTTGCACCCTCAATGTGAAAATAAATTCATTTGCATACTTTGAGTCTCTTTATATTAGGTATCCAATTGTATTCCTATATCTTTCAGTAAATGCATGATATTTGGCATAATGTAGTCTATAACTATGAGTACATCTTAAGTACTTAGTACTTTAACTATTTCTTTCCGGTGTTAGCTACTGGATTGCTCTTATATCTACTCAGTTTACTAAATTTGTAAAATATGTTTGATCTTATACAACTTATAAAGTACATTAGACTTTCAATAATTCTAGAGTACTCTACTTGAAAAATACTCTCACCTTTACTTTTAAATAGGTTCTGACTTATATATGTAAGTGTTCTAATCATACCAAAACTTTCATTGTCACATTTTCTAAAAATTTCATCTACATAATGTCACTAACTTAAAATGAGTCCATTTAATAATCTTGAAATTTTAACTTCAACTATCACATAAGTTAAATCCATATCTTTCAAGTCAAATTTTGAATTCAACATATTTTTAGTAAATTTAATCATCTTATTGTTGCTACCAACAATAAGACTGTTGTCTACATAAAAGACATAGGATGACATAATCATTTTTGAAGTTTTCGACATAAATCCATTTATACCACTCGATTTTAATTTCACAATCTATCATGACCTTATCAAACTTTCATACCATTTTTTGGTGTTTTTTTCAAACCATACAATTACTTCACAATTTATAGACCTTCATTTTCATGTCTTGTGATAAAAAAAACTTTCAAGCTATTTCATGCAATTTTATTTTTTATTTTTTTCATTTGGATCTCCATTTAAAAAGATAGTTTTAATATTAATTTGACATATTTCAAGATTTCGTGGAACTACAATAGGAAGTATAATCCTAATAAATATTGTTCTCGTTACTAAAGAATACTATCAAAGTAATCAAGGTCTTCTCGTTGTAAGTAAACTTTTATCACTAATTTAGCCTTATAATTCTCAATGGTTCCATCTGCTTTCATTGTCCTTTAGAAAATTTATTTATAATCTAGTGGTTTGCTTCCATCTATCATTTTGTGAAATTGAATCTTTAACATTTCATGATACTTTTCACTAAGTTCTAAAGAGTTTGAATTTATAGCTTCGTGAAAGCTTTGATGTTCACTTCCCAACATTTAGGTAAGAAAACCAGGATCATAAGATTTTTCTCTATTTTCTCTTTTACTATATCTCGGTTCAACCTCAACTTTCTCTTCTAATTCTTGATCTTATTTTCAACTATAGTATTATGCATTTGTGTAGAGGAATTTGCTTCCTCTTTGGATCCATGCGAAGATACGTGTTAAAAGAACGAAATATTTCTCGACTCCATTATCATATTTTTGTGTTTGTTTGGAATGTTAGTCTCATCATGCACAAGAACTCGATTAGCACTATTATTATGCTCAAAGCAGATGAAGATGCAATCTACAGTTTCTAGCCTTTTTTCATTTTCTAGGTGTAAGTATAGTCAAGTTGACAAGACAGCTCCACATTCTTAAGTATTTACTTAATACAATTGCATTTACCATTTTTTTTAAAATACATTTTTTTTCCGTTCAACAACACCATTTTGCTGGGATAAATAATGTGCTTTAGTTTCATGTGTGATTTTGTGTTGTGCTCAAAATTCAGCGAATGGTGCTTCATACTCATCATCTTGAGCACTTCTCTATACTTTAATTTTCTTATTCAAACTTCATTCTTATAAACAAAAAAATTCTGCATAACTCTCTCCTGACTTTTAAGCAGAAACTCATAATAGCATTTGTGCCATTAATGACATATAAGTAAGAAAGTACTTGTTGCCACCTCTTGTATATATAAATTTTAAATCATATACTTCACTATGAATTAAATCAAGTGGTTATATATTTCTTTCAACATATAGAAATGATGACTTTGTCAATTTGCCTCAACAAAAGTGTCGTGCTTATGTTTAGAATTATTGTGGAATGTGAGTATATAAATCAAGTTAATTAATTTACGCAGAGTATCTTAACATGTCCTAGTCTATCACAAATTGAAAAACACAACCAAAGAAGCAAATGAATTACTTTTATTCATTTCAACTTGCTGACCATTATATTGAGCATAAACAACCAACCACAAACATAACTCTTGTCAACGCCCCCCAGGGTACATCCAAATTGGCGGAACAATCACATTGGGGGGCTCTGGAACCAAGTGTGGGGAGTTCGATTCCTGGTTGGAGCAGCCAAGTGATGTAATAATCAGAGGAAGGGTTGGAGCAGCTTGGTGATGTAATAACCATGGAGGAGGGTTCCTTTGGGGAAGGAGTAAAAGTCATGTGGGAATCTGGGAACCAACAAGGGCACAACCTGCGATTTACCTCCACTAGTCACTGAGGGGCCGGGGGCTAGAGGTCCAGGATTTAGTCCGGCTAAGCTGGGACACCTGGGTTATCAAAAAAAAAAAAAAAAAAAAAAAAACTCTTGTCAACAAACGTTTCACTTTTCGAAAAATAACTTTGTCTAACTCAAACACTATATTGAAACAATGCTTATTAGAGAGATCTAGACAATAGGTTCTTGCAAATTTCTAGTACATACAACATATTATTAAGAGTTAGCTTTTTCCTAGAAGTCATCTTCATAACCATCTTACCTTAATTCTTGATTTTAGAACTGAATTTCATATAAAACAACAATTGCTTCAAACAAACTAAACAACTGTTTATCAGAGCAAACATAAATTGTAGCACTTCAGAAATAACATCTTCGAGGTTTATGTTAGATACATTGTGTACCATGTAGTCAATTTCATTTCTTTCTTTCCTTAGGTAATCTGCACCCCAAAAATTTATGGCAAACCACAATTGAAATATTTTCTTAACCCTTTACCACTAGATGGTCCAAACTTATTCTTATAGATCTTAAAAGCAATGTTTTAAATATTGTAAAGTATGACTAGACGTGAAGGTTATATGTCAAGCTTTAGAAGCCTTGACGACCCTAGGCGAGCTATAGGGTAAAATAAGTTATTTATTTTTATTATTATTGTAAATACTTAATCATTCTAAAAATTATTAAATAATTAAAATAATACGACCGAACATCTAAAATTATAAACTACCATATTTATTTAATAATTTTCACAATTAGTCAATTATAAAATTTTCAAATTTTCGAAATACAAAAGTTAGACGAATTTTTACAATTTCAACTTTCAACTAGACAAGTCCCTACTTAATAGATTTATAAGAATTTCATACATTAGAAGTTTTTAACAAAATAGTAAATCTCAAAATCATAATAACATAATATAGTTAGCACCATAGTTTAAATCTTATCTGAATTTTTATCAAATTAAGTTATTTTTGACTTTTGTACAAATAAAGTCATTTAAAAATTTTGAAGCTAAAGTCAAATAAAAGCCTTTTAGAAAGAAAGAAAAAAAAAGTTAATAAACTAAAGTCAAATAAAAGATTTTTTTAAAAATTAAAAAAGCACATCTAGTCCTGCATTAAGCGGTTAACATAGCAGTTGATCATTTTTTTTTTCCCTAGAAATTCTCTATTGTCTTCTTCATTTTGAAGTTTAACAAACAATTCTTCTTTTTCTTTCGTTTGTGCAAAAGATAATTTTTGAAATCTTTCAACGCAAAAGGTAGCTTCTTAATAATAAAGTCACTTCGAAATTTTCACTTGGAGTTACAGTACTTGGTAGATCAAATATTTTGTGTCCACCATCTTATAATCTAGGAATTGCTCGACAATAAATTTCTTAACCTTGACATCCATAATTTTATATTTTCGGTCTAAAGGCTCCTACAACTTCTTAGCTATTTTTATCGTATTATACACACTGTATAGTGAATCAGGAAAATTGTTTACGATATAGTTGCGGTATAGCATAACTTGAAAATTTAGTCACAGTTTGGATCACAGCAAGATTTGGCAATTCAGCCAACTAGTTATATCCATATGGATTGATTCTGTTATCATTTCTTAAAAAAAAAAAGAATATTAATTCTTCAACGAAGATATTAATCATCAATTTGTTTATTTTAGAATCATTTTTAAGTTGCTATACTGATGTCACATAATATAATAATATATTTTATTAATTATAGATGGAACATAACGGGAAATCAAGAATTGTAGGAAAATATTAATCGCTAAAGCGATAATAGATTTGCAAGTCAAGGACTCTGTATTACACAATACCTTTTAAATAGACTCTTTCCCTTATCGTAAGTGCTTGAGGTTTTGTTTGAGTGTCTGTCTTTCATAATATAACGAAACATTCTAGTTAGAAAGGAACTATAAAGAAGATTGGAATTTTTGTGTGTGGAGCAAAGGAGAAAACTGACCTACATAATAAAAGGTTGTAATGAGTAACTTAACAATCGACAATTAAATGTGTTACAACCATTAACACCATCATAATCTAACTGTATAATCTTTTCGTTAATATATGCAATAAACACAAGAGTTTTAGCAGCAAGAAAGTCAGTTGAAAGGAAAAAAAACAATAAAAAAAACTACAAAATAAAGGCAAAATACAAATCCTTATAAGTAGTCAATTTCGATCCGACATTTGTATACGCTAATCGCACTTGCGCATAACTACAATGGCATAAGGTGCTAATCAAGTTAATAATTTACACCCTAGTGGGAGCACAGTAGAGTGAATTTTATGCTACTTGATTACACTTTTCTAAAGCGTGGTCATATATAAACTAGTCGGTGTCTTGTAAATTTTTCTACGTGGGACAAACTTTAATTATTTTCTCTCCAACACATATTTCTTCTAATTGGTAGTTTTGAACGCCAATTTTACATTTTTCTAACAGCCACATCTCCCGAGATCAAATCAAGTTAAATACGAATGTAGCAGCTAATGTATTCCATGAGTCTAAAATTACAAACTATATGTTGAAGGAATCATTTTAAAAATTGGGAAAACTGTACGATGCGCTTAAATAGAATTTAAAGGAAAATGTGAATAAAACTAGCGTAGGTTTTCCTGAAGGACTTGGCCCAATTATGATAATTTATCATAAGAAGAAAGCTCTATAAGGAAAAGGGAACAAAATAATGCTGATACCATCATACCATTACAAAAAATAGAAAAAAGAGGTCCCTATTTAATCCCACTTGAGAAAACACTTACTTTAGCAAAAGCATGCTCAACACCTATAATTAACTCATGTCAATTATAATCTTTACATTTAACAACAAAAAGAAACAGAAATTAAACAGCTCAACAAAGATTCTTTTTTTATTGCTTAATGAATAAACAGATTATTCAATGACAAAAAAAAAAAATCTCACAAGAAGGATATTTGGAAAATAAAATGAATAATTCCATTAAATTTTGGCAATGTCGTGAAAGTAGCAAACACAATTATTTAATTAAAACTCTCCTAAACCTCTTCCCTTTTCTTACCAAAACAAAATTTCTCTTCACAAAAGACCAAAGTGCTTAACCATTCAAAAAATATTCTATCAAAATATATAGTCATAGAACGAGAGATGGAATTTTTTTACCTTCAATGCTTGTAGCACTCTTGGACTTCCTATGCCGAGCTCTCTCCATTTACTTTTCAAAAATTCAAATGCAAAAACAGACAAAAGCCAACGAATACTTGAAGTGCAGATAAAAGTGTGCCACATGTACTACCCTCCTATCTAACACATGAAGTAGTGCAACATGGCAGACTAGGAGGTTTTTTTGTGTCAACAAAGAATTCATGCTGCTAGTGCATAAAATGTCTACTCAATCATTAGGATAAATTTTTGTGGTACTAAACAGGACTTGTCACTGCGATCAGTAAGATTTTAACAACTTTTTTTTTTCAATTAATAATGATTCGGCAGTCTAGTCCACCATCCCAAACATGCCATAACTCTTTCGGATGTGCACTCCATATAACATAGTTATATTCGCCACTTTTATCACACAAATCCAACTTGTATCATACTCACAGGCAAAACGAATTTAAACCCATCAAACGAGCTCCATTATTCCTCCAACCTAAACCACCATCTTGGAGAAAAAAGGTGGAAAAGCCAAATCAAAAGCAACAATACCAAAAGGAACAGATCGCTGAACACAATGAATCCTATGAAATTTAATTCTTTACAATTTTACCACATGCTTTTGCAGCCATAAATTGAAATTCAGTTCATTTGCTGGAGAAAAACCTATTAAGAAACTATTGTATTCCACAAAGATACATATTCAAATCACAATACAATAAAGCAACTATACCAAATCATCAAAAGCATATATACACTAGAGTAATCGTAAGAGAGATCTGGACTTGGGGTTTTTCACTTACCTCTAGCTTCTTTGAGATCAGATCTAGTAGAGCGAGAGAATTGGGGAAGGGTAAAAAAACGCAAAACAAAAAGCAATAATTGGGGAAGAAGGTGGGTCAAGGTTGTGGTTGTCGCAGAAGGACTGCTTGCGACAACGGCCAGAGATGCCGCAGATTTGCTATGGTTCTCGGCATAGGAGGTGGTGCCGGCAACGGTGGAGAAGGAAACCTCGACGGTGGCAGCAGGATTCTTGGCGGTGGAAGTGGTTGAGGCTGTGTGTGCGTGTGTTGAGAAGAGGAGAGGGAATGGTTAGGAAGTAGAAAGACACGGGGTACTTATGAAAATAGCTTGTCAAACAACCAAATTTTCATTTTGACTATTTTTTTTTTGTTTCACCACATTGGCCTATTGTCATTAAAAAGACAATTCTACCCTTATTCATATTTAATAATTACAAAAGTATATCAATTGTTTAAAAGACAATAATACCCTTAATAGTTTAAATAAATTCTGTTACATCCATACGTAAATTTCAAAATCAGTTTTGGTTTATCAGTTTCTCCAATACAGTAAAAAAGAATTTTTTCCTTCCATCTGCTAAAATATTGAAATCTCCCAAAATTATCAAAGGTTCAAGAAAGAAACAATACTCACAGTCGGCACTGGAAATTGGTAAGTGTAAATACGTATTTTGAATTTTGTTTTAGTTAAGTTTACTGTTTGAATCTGTAAATAATTATTTTGAGAAAGGCAGATGAATTTTACAGTATTTAAACACAGATTTATAATTTTTTTATAGCAAAAACAACAAAAAAATTCATCTGTGTATGCATATATTTTACAGGAAAAATTTATAGGTGTCTGTAAAATAAATATTTAAACATTATTTCGTTGAAAAAGGGAAAAAATAAAAAATTAGAGCGTAAATTTCAGATGAAAAGGACGAAAAAAGCTGGGCCAAATGTTTCCAGCCGGCCCAGTTGTCGGGGCCGGATGGAAACAGCCGGCCCAGCCCTTTTTTTTCCTTCAGATTTTAGAATTTATTTGTTCTAATATGTTTATTGAAATAAATATTAATGAATATTTAAATAGTAATTGAAATAAATATTTTTGAAACAATTAAAATAATCAATGAAATATTTAATACTTAAATTAAATTAAATATGAAATGAACAATTTAAAAATTATATATTAATTCCTTATTTTTAATTTGTGGCAGATATGGCATCAGCATGTGTCCCAATTTGTTACTTTGGTGAATTTCAAATGAATGAAAATGCTCAGTGGGAATGGAAATGGACGAGTGAAGGAGATGGGGTTAAAGCGATTTTTATAACAAGGAGTACATCGTTCGCAGAAATGTACAGTGATATACAAAACATGCTTAACGTCGATCCCTCTCAGTACGATATGGAATTGAGATTTTTGTTTCATAAGCATTCAACCATTTCAATTCCACCTATGAAAGTTACTTCTGAAGTGGAAATGAAACATCTAATTAAATTGAATCAAGGTCGGAAGTCGACTCCTATTTGCGTAACTTTATTGGAGAAGAATGTCCACGAGGGGGAACACGAAATTTCAAATGAAAAGAATCGTAATGTAAATGATGTTTGGGATACAATTCAGATTGTTTGTGAAGATGATGTGGTTATTCCCGAGACCACTGCTACTCACCATGGTCACACTGTTACGCACAGAATTCCATCGATAGTTGAAGACAACGAGAATGAAAATGCATTTACAAACGAGGATTTGATTGCTTTATCTCGTAGGAGACATGAGTCGGGTGGGAGCTCGCAGGCTGGACCGAGTACACGGTCCTCTAATTGTTCGCGTGTAATTCCCGATGATGAAGATGTATATGTTGAGCAACTATTCGAGTCAAAGAAAGAATTGCAAGAAGCTGTGCACCGGATTGCTTTAAAACATAACTTCGAGTTTAAAGTGAAGAAATCAAACAAGTCGTTATACACAATTATCTGCGTTGACGACAGTTGCCATTGGCGTTTGCGAGCGAGAAGCTGTGCACCGGATTGCTTTAAAACATAACTTCAAGTTTAAAGTGAAGAAATCAAATAAGTCGACGTACACAATTATCTGCGTTGACAACAGTTGCCATTGGCATTTGCGGGCGACGAAGATGGACACGAATGAGTTCTTTGTAGTTTGTAAGTATGCACGGAAACATACTTGCGAAGTGGGTATTCGTTGAAATGATCATAGGCAGGCCCGATCATGGTTCATTGGTCGAGAAATAATGCACAAATTCCAGGATCCACGAACGATCTACAGACCTTCGAACATCATTAATGATGTTCGACGTGAGTACGGGGTGGTCATGAGCTATCAGAAGGTTTGGAAGGCTAAAGAATGTGCATTGGAGGATTTGATGGGTTCGGCTGAGGAGAGTTATGCTAAATTAGCCAGGTATTTCATTGTTTAAGTGTTTATTTCTTTATTATAGTAAATTTTAATTATTTAATTTCAATTGTTTATTTATATGTAATTAATTATTTAATTGAATTGTTTATTTTTCTGTTCATTTAATATTTAATATATTATCTAAATTATGATTATTTTTATTTACATTGGCCAGGTATTGCTATAACATGGGAAGAATTAATACTGGGTCGGCATTTTTTATTGAGAAGGATGACGAAAATCTCTTCAGATATTTCTTTATGGCCCTTGGACAATGTGTTCGAGGATTTCGAAATGCAATGCGACCCTTAATCTTAGTCGACGGTACAACCCTTAAGGCGAGATACGGGGGCAAGTTGATTATTGCAACATGCCAAGATGCGAACATCCAAATTTACCCTCTTGCGTTCGGCATAGTCGACGGAGAAAATGATGTAGCAATGAGTT